TATTCGTTGCCCATTTGTGACGTAAACGCATTAAGTGGTGCAGTTTTTGTCATAAAGTCACAATTGCCAGGGTTAAGCTCTCAACAACCTATTCTTTATTCTCTGGCTATAAGATTAAATTACAATAGAGTAATCTATTAAGACGATCCTATGGGCAGAACACATCGCATTTACTTGAGATAAAAACGCATGAATCGTTTTGATGGAAAGTTTCAGAAAATGTGTTAGAATATAGACAAAATCCATGTATATATGATGAAAAATGATGAAGGCTTTACAGTAATAAATTAAAAACCTCTATGTAGGCAGAGCAACTCGACTAGGGAGTAATCAGGATTTATTGCTGCCACAAAGAGCCAACTTTCTCTATAATAAATGAAAAGAGAAAAGGATTTAATAGAGAACGGAGGATTTATCACTTATACAGAATATTAAAAAAACAATACATTGAGGCAAAATGAAAACATACTGGCCATTATAATTACATTCGTGAAGGCCCCACAAAATCAGCCTTAAATAACATTTTCGAGTAAAAATTAAGAATTTAATCTATAAGTATAATTTTTATATATATTTTAGTGTGATTCAGGAAAAACAGATAAACAAAAAGTACTAATCAAGGCAAGTAGAAAAGCTATAATACCTTTGGGGGTCGGCACACATAAGACAGAGAAATATAAAAGTCAGACTAGAAATTATGGATAGAAGCGTAAAACATTTAACGGAGACCTAATATAGATGGGTTTGATCATTTACATGGTTCGTATATGAGAGGCTTGAATAATAGATTTACCTGGTGGACATGCGGAACAACGATAAATAAATTTTCAAAGTTAAATTAATTTTCCATCCAGCTTTATGATCGATACTATTGGGGCCTACTCAGTGATGCTGGAGGACACGTGCTGTCAAAGGCTTAAGATAGTGAGGACATAACGACTCAAGTGGCATGGATATGTTAGGAGTGCTTGAGTGAAATCACTGAACTAGGGAGACAAAAGACGGATTCTAAAGTAAGGCTTTGATAGGAGCTGGATGAAAAGGACTTAGGGAAAGAGACGCAGTTAGATCAACACTCCCAGCAGAGAAGGAGGGAATGAGGAAACCAGCGGGGAGTGGGAATAAGCCTCACTAAATCCACTCAAAAGGACGCACCCAAACTAGGTTTAAATAAGTAAGAAATTGTGATAATGAAGAGGTGATACGATGATATAGGATAGGTGTATGCCCCAGGACAGGAGAGATACCACAATTATATTACAGACGATTGGTAAAAGGATGAACTTAATTTGTTTATTTCACGAGTTGTAGAGAGGTGTTAAGAATGATAATGCTCACTGGCGATGCCTGCGAAGTATTCAAGAATGTACGAAGTCTACGGCTAGGAATTATCTTGTATACTATGGGCTCAATAAAAGATGTGTTTCTCTAGGCCTCCCTGACAATAAACCTATGTTGCGAAAACAGGATCAAACAACTTCTATACAACAAAAGGAGACCACAACCATACTAGAGGCAACACCATCTTGATCTTTGAACAGTAGAATAAAAAACTAATAAATTTGAGCTTCATAAAGTTGATCTTTTAAGTAGGCAGAAAAGACGGCGGAAAAAGCGTAGTCCAAATAACAGTAAAACTGAAATCGTAGCGTTCGTAGCTTTCTTGAAATGAGCTAACCTCTATCAATCGAAGGCGTAGGCGCTCCTCTCGCCGAAGCAAAATTTGTCTTCTTAGTCTGCTCTCCTTTTCTTCATTATCCTCCTCAAAATCATCGTGCTCTAAGTCACTTGCTCGTTGAGAAGATAGTTCTGTGAAGCCCTGTTTTGGTGAATCAGGAGTATATGCATCTAATGATGATTTGCCCCTATCAAAAAAAGGCCGTATTCCAGATTCATCCAGGTTGAGAAACGGATCTTCTGGTGATAGGAGATTTGTGTGGAGGAGTGATAAACTATGATAAAATAAAAGTTAAGTATAAGCAGTAAAAAGAGCTAATGGAATCTAATTAAATGATAGAATATATATACATATATAAAGTAAAAGCGGAATGAATTTTTCTAGAATAACAACTAACATAATCAATACAATTATTTTATATATAAATCAAAAGAACATTTATTGTTTGGAGAGGAAAGAGGTTTCCCTTAATAATTGGAAAAAATGGGCATCACACAAACGAACAACAACCTCGGGCTTCACGAAAATGGAAAACGAAACCAAAATTAGCAATAGGATATAAAGGTATGAAATGCCAAATTGCTAAAAGGTAAATTTCTTAAAATAAATTATTATACATGCATAGTAATGAATAAAACCTGTCATGAAGCAAAAGACAGTTCATCGCACTGCATCATATACACTAAGATGCCAATTTATTCAGGGAGCCTTTGATAAAGAAGTTAAAAAAGAATGTAACATTCGAGATGAGCAGAGGCTGAAGAAAATGAAATACCAAATAAAGACTGTCGCTCAAGTACTAAAGGGTTCCATATAGTCTATCTCATATCGCTAGTTAGAATAAAACATTCCAAAAAACACGAATGAATCAAAACTTATGACAAATTGAAATATTCTTAGATGGCTAGTTTTGCACAAAAAAGCTCATAAGTCTTTGTATTTTAAACTAGAATACAATATGAGGGTA